GAGGACGAGGACCACCACATGGAGGAGGGCCTTCTAGGACAAGACGACGATGCCACCGGCAGCAATGTCTCCCCAGCCGTGGCCATTTTCCTTACCTCGATACTCGAATACCTAGGCGAACAAGCTTTAGTGTCTGCCGGTCAGGTCGCCTGGAACCGAATGCGCATCAAGTATGAAAAGGAGGCCAAGCTGAACCCCAAGAGCCGCACGGATGTCATTGAGAGGATCGTCGTCGAGGAGTTTGATATGGAGCGAGTTGCTTTGGACAGAACTTTGGGCCGGTTGTGGAGGGCCTGGAAGAAGCGCGTCCGGTCTGGGAATGGCAGTGTCGACCTTTCGCAGCAGCCTGTTTCACGGGAGAAGATGTACCGTCAGCGCCTGGGAAGCTTGGCTTCTGCGGACGGAGCCGTACCTCCTGCGGTCCACGAGTCCACGAATGAGGCCGAGGAAGGTGCAGATGCCAAGCAGAAAGACGCTGCTCCGCCCACAGACCTGAACGAGGCCGAGGCCGCTGCCGCCATCCCTCTCCCATTGACTAAGAGAGATGTCGATGAAATCGAGGTCCCCGGTATGGTCCACTACAGTGACGACGATGCGTCGGAATACGAGCCCGAGGAGGTGGATACCTCGGCGCGACCCAAGAGCATGATGGACTTTGCCTTCTCCAAAAACAGCGCTAGCCCTTCCGCCGCAATGACGTCGACTCCTCGTGCGGCCCCGAGGCGACGGGCCAGCTCGCTCCCACCACCTCCAGCATCCCTACGAGAAAAGCGGAAGAAGAGCACGGCCCAGAATGACGCTCCTGAGACTGAGACTTCGCACGGCGTCGATGGAGCAGTGGAAGCAGAAGACGGCGCCCCCCAAAACGCGGACGAGAAGGCAGCAGTCGCAGGATTGACCACAGATGAGGCAGTCTCAGGTCACAGTACGGGTGAGGGAAACAAGGATGAGGCCGACGAAACACAAGCCAAAGACAAGCCCAATGAGTTCGTCCAGGCGACTGGTATGATTGCCGCTGCGGCGGCCGCTGTTTCCAGCGCTGTAGCCGCGCCCGTGCTGGCTGCGTCCAAGAAGCTCGGCGAAAGTCATGACGATGAGGAGGACGGGGGCGACACAGACATTGAGGAGATTGAAGAGGCTCAGATCATGACATCGTCCAGGATCTCCATCGGCGGTAGCACGTCTGCCAGAAGTGACTCCCCAGCAAGTTCTGATAGGGGCAGCCGTCCGCCCTTGTCCATCCATCTCCCCGTCAGATCAGGATCCTTGCGGGTGGTTGATGTCGCCAGCCCTCGCACGCCGTCGTCCAGGTCCCAGAGGAGCTCTCTTCTCCAGGAGCCGAACAATCCTCCATCCTATTCGCGGTCTGTATCGAGAACCAGCAGCATTCACGTCGAAGAGCCACGCGAAGCCGAAGACACCCGAGGCTCCAGGGTCGTCTCCGGCGTCAGTTCTGTGAGCAAAGCGCGAAACAGCGTTGCGCCATCGATCTCTGAGGCAGAGGAGATTGGCGAACCAAGTCCCATGTCCGCCACCATTTTCCCGCGCAGGGAGTTGGGACCGATTCGGACAGCGAGTGAAAATGACAAGTCTGAGCAGCAGCAGCAGCAGCAGCAGCCGTATCGACAGCAGAACCCAGCCATTCTAGCCACTATCAAGCGACCGAGCCCATCCTCGCCACAACGCTCTCCGACCGGCGAACTTGACCAGCGTCAGCCGCCCCGGTCGGCCCAGGCGATCGTCACGACCGTCAACACTCCGCCCGATTCCGCCACATTCATGGAAGACGCGGTTGGCCCACTCCCACCGAGATATACAAGACCCCGGCAATACAGTGCAGGTGTTAGCCCCGTTGGTCCGGCTGTGCCGGAGAAGAGTGCCAGCAGGTACCAACACGCTCCTCCAAACAGCACTGGGGCCCAAGCAGGCACGATCGGCATCTTGTCGGTAGATCGCCCAGCAGCGAACAAGGAGAACAGCGAGGCTGTCCGCTCCTCTCCAGAACAGGTTCAAGTACGCCCAAGTCACACCCCAGCATCGTCCACATCCTCGCACAAGATGCGCATGGCACGAGCCTCGCAGGATAGTACAGCTACTCAGCCCGAGGCCGTCGCCCGAAACTTCGAGGAGCTTATTCGGGGCAACGAGACTATTCAATATACCCTTACACCAGAGAATGTACGAGAGCTAGAGGTATTTTCTTCTCTCAATCTTGAAAGAACAACGGAGTGCTAACTTGGGACTAGGGCTCACCAAGAAGCTTGCAGTCCGCCACGCAGGGCAAGGCCCGGAGAAGCGAGGACGCTCGGCAGGCCACCAGGGACCGCGCTGGTTCTTCGTCGGCGAAACCGATCGAAGTGAGGAGGTCGACCTCGGTCAGCCGCGCTACAGGACTGCGCTCACATCCTGTTGACCTGCCTGCGGCGGAGGCAACCGATAAGGCTCGTCCGCCTCTCTCGATGGCCAACAAAGCTCGTGGACCAGGGCCTCAGGCACGAGACGCAAGGCTTGGCCGCGAATCGATTCTCGAGTTTGCCGAGTTCATCCGTGCTACCGGGCCCCCTCCTGGAGCAGAGGTTACCCCTGTGCAGCCCAACATGGGCCTCAGGAGGAACCAGAGCCTGAAGCGCGACGTGCCTTCCCCAGCTAGCCACAAGGCGGGCGCCGACCAACCTCGTCCTTCCATGACGAGCAGCATTGGCAGGGCTCGCCTGCAGGCCAGGGATGCCACAGTCGACAGCGCCAACGACAACTCTGACCTGATTGATTTCATCCGCCGCGGCCCGCCGAGCGCTGGGAACCACCGCATCCCGAGGACTGTTGCGCCTTTCCGGACCACGATGGATTCTGACCAGATGGTGACAGCCATCGGCGGCCGTGCCGTGGACACATCTCTCCCCGACGCCCATGACATGCGTGGCAGTCAAGCTTCCACCAATGTGACAGAGATGTCGGCGCCTTCGGTCCAGTCATCTGTCAACTCGCAGAGCGCGCTCCTGGGCCGGAAGCCGCTGCCTGCACAGATGAGCAACCAGTTCGATGAACCAGACATGATGCCTGTGCGCAAGCAGCACCGTGTGAGGGATCCGTATGCAATCGACCTGAGCGATGAGGAGGAAGAGGAGGAGGAAGAGGACGACTTCGATTATGAGCCACAGCCAAAGCGAAAGGCGCCTCCTAAGGAGGAGAGCCTGATGGACTTCCTGAACAGTGCACCGCCTCCACCTCCATCCGCACCTGTCCCGTTCAACCTGCCGCGTACACAGTCCATGCCCGCTCAGGCAGCACCGGCACCCAAGAAGAAGGCGAGCGCTCCAAGTCTCATGGCACGATTCCGCCAGAACAGCGCCGCTGTTACCTCACGTGGATCCAAAAACACGTCAAGCTCTCGTTCCTTGAGCAGCCGCGCAGGTCCTCCTGCCGGGCCTCCCGTGAACAAGGGGTACATTCCGATCCAGGTTAACATCCCGACCGGAGGAGACCTGTTCCCCTCGTATAGCTCAAACACGGCACCGGCTGTGCCCAATATCCCGGCGCAGTACGCGCAGCAGCGCCCCAGCGGTCGGGTGCCCATGAAGAAGTTTGAGCCCCGCGACGCAGTCTCGGTGCCATCTCGAGGAACGTCCGACCTGGCTGACTTCCTCCGGTCTGAGCCACCACCTCTGTCAGGGCCCACACCTTGGAATATGGCTCAAGATGAGGGCAACTCATCCAATAAGCTCTTTGGACGACGGAAGAAGTCAACCGGCTTTGCTTAGAGCCTGGAAGCCCTGGGGCCATTCACCATTCGACAATCAACTCATAATATATGAGTGGACCTGGTCTGGTCCTTGAGAGAACTGCCTGTGTCAACACATCAGACCAATCGCAGTCTAGAAGATTGACATTGACCAAGTGGCCATCTCAGCCACAGCACCATGTGGTCTTGGTCTTTTTCCTCTACTTGATCGATTCTTGACCAAAGTATGTGTCAAACCATGCAACACAGCCGCAACCCATCCACAACATGAACCCGATGCTCATACCAGCAACATCTACAAAGGGCAATGATGGGGCCTGTACATATTCCATTGAGAGGCAGCAGACATGAAGAGTGTCCCCCCCCCCCCCTCTTTACTATTTTGTGCTGTCTGCCTCGTTCATTGTCAGGGTAGCTCGTCTTGGCTTTCTCACAGATGATTGTTTTGTTTTTAACACCTTTGATACCAATTGCGCACAAGGAGGGTTTGTTTTTTCCGTTGGAGATTTTTTTCTTCATTTCTTTTCTCATTCGCCCTGAGAGGCTGGGTGAAGATGATTCCTCCTGCCTGATGGAAGTCTACATAGACTTTTCAGGATAGGAATGCTATTCTGTTTCACTCAATCCTGGGCTAGAGATATGGCGCTGTCTTTGAGGGAGGGGATGGATCTATCTTAGGTGCAGTCATTTTGCATGGGGATGGATAGATGGAAGTTGAAGGCAAAAATGTGTTGTTGATAGTTGTTGTACGGAATAGGAATCACTCTCATGATGGTTTTCTCATGGTCCCCATCCCCTACACTTATGCTATCTACTATGGTACTTGTGGGCTGAGACAATACGTGCATGCGAACCGCGCCTGGCCGCCCTTCACCGTTGCTGACCATGAAAGCTGACCTTGACAGACAAGTGGAAGACTGGGGATTTTCTTCTTCTTCCGTTGACTGGGTAGGTGTCTGTATCAAGTTACCACTTCTTCTACGGGGAGATGTCACAACAAGCAGTCTGCAGCAGGAGACAGATTTCCCTGAGCTGCCGAGTAGTCTACAGAACCACAGCAAAAGATTGTATAGTAATTACTGTATTTTTTTCTCTCTTGCGCGCTTGCGTCGGCAGCCCCACAATTTTCGCCATCCAATCCACTAGAGCTCTCACACACTACAGCGCACATCCACTGCCAACTGACCCACTACACTTGCTACTTCACAGCAGCTTCAAGAACGGACGGACCGTTCCCTCCAACCCACGACAACATCGCTCACTCTCCCTCCCTCTTTCTCCACGGCATGCTAGCTACCACAAGCTATTGACCAGCAGAGAGACTTCAACTGAAAGCAGATTTTTTTGAATCTATTCTCACCGTTCCCCACCATCAATCCCGGTCTTACATTTCGCAGACCGACAATTCGCAAGAAAGACCCCAAAAGGGTAGACGAGAGAGAAAACAGAAAAATGGTGCGTACATTACTCCATACTATATACGTGGTCATGCATGTCCTTTTTCGCCCTTAGACTTCAGCCCTGGAGGGGAGAGATGGGGGGGTTCAGCTGGCGCCGGGACGCAAGGTCAAAAGGGAGCAAGGAGACAGAGAGCGTGGGGGGGGGGGGAAGTACGGGGTCTCACCGGTGCCCCGAAGATCTGCATGATAGTCACCAACTCGGCAGACCATCTGAGAGGTTTGTGGAGGGGGGAGGAGATGGTGCTAAACGAATCCTCTCCCAAGGAAAAGAAAAAGGAGGGAGACAGGAAGAAAAAGAGGGGAAGGAAAGAGAGAAGAACACTTATGCTCTGGACGGCTGGCTGACCTATGTGAGGACGTACTGTCTCCCCCGCCCATTTTCCTAGGTCCACGCCGATGCATCCACGTTCGCCGAGGGCGTGAGCAAGGAGGCGGCGCTCCGGCAGGTGGTCGAGCAGGCGGAGGGTTTGATGGAGGGGCAGAGAAATTGGGTACGTCCGTTAAGCTTTTCTTCTTTTTTTTTCTTTGTCTCTCTGTCTCCGCCTCGCTTCCCTCATTTGTCTTGGCTCGAGCTCGTATTCATCCGGCGCATGCACTCTCATGGTCTGAGGGGGGTTCATTGTATCCTCTTTCTCGGCCGGCTGGGATGAGAGAAGGGGGCCGGGATGCTGCGAGACGAGGGCGAGATGAGGAGGAAAATAGATGAGTGAGGATGGCGGTGGTGATGAAATGCTAACGAGTGCATGACAGGTTGCGTAAGTGGACATGAAATGGCTTGATGGTGATCAGAAAGACAGCCACCGTATCATCACGTATTTCCCAGTCCATTCGTCTCTTTCATCCTTACCTCTCTTTCCTCTCTTACGGCAAGGCAGACTGCGATGTGTGATGAGGAACAGGGAGAGGGGAAACCGCCTCCCCAATAGCGAGCAGAAAGAGAGGACTGACATTGGGACTTTTCCCACCTTCGCACACAGCAACCTGGCCAACGCAGCATCATTGCTATGGCACGCCTACAAGAGCCTGCCGTCGCCAAGTAAGGATGTGAACTGGGCTGGTATGTCTATCCTTTCTACTTTTCCTCCTATCCTATCATCATCTAGCTATATGCCCTTTATTCACACACGCGCACACACACACAGGTTTCTATGTCCTCGACCCGTCCTCGGCCCCCTCTCACCCGTCCCTCATTCTGGGCCCCTTCCAGGGAATGGTTGCTTGCCAGACCATCGCCTTTGGCCGCGGCGTCTGCGGAACCGCCGCCGCCACCCAGCAGACCCAGCTCGTGCCGGACGTCGACCTGTTCCCGGGCCACATCGCCTGCGACGGCGCTAGCAAGAGCGAGATCGTGGTGCCCATCACGGCGGACGTGGTGAGCCCTGAGGGCGCTGGTGGTCTGCCCCATGTGGAGAAGAAGGTTGTGGGGATCATTGACCTGGACTGTGCTGTGAAGGAGGGGTTTGACGAGGTGGATCGGGCCTGGCTGGAGAGGTTGGCGGATGTGCTGGGGAGGGGATGTGACTGGTGATTGGGATGGACGGTTAGTGAGGGGGGGGGGGGGGAAAAAAAGAGGAAAAGGAAAAGCACAAGAGCATCACGATGATCTCTGATATGAGAAAGGAAAACAGATTTTTTTGCTTGGCAGTTACAGAGTTAGCAATTCTTAGGACACTCACTTCTCGACTCGTCCCTGCGAGGGAAAGGCTCCAGGACATGAAACACACCGGTAATGTTATGTTCACTAATGTGCTACAGCTTTTAACCTAAATCCTTCTTCATCTTCTCTCTCCCTCGTGCCATTGTCCAAGTTAGTTTCAGTGATGATGGCTGCAGGACAAATGATGGCCAGCTAGAGAAACCATCTATGCCCTCTAGGCACAGATTTGGACAGCCCAAAATTCTCCAAGGACCGGGCCTTAAGAGTCCATCACACACTACTGCGGTGCCCGTGCAGGCGCACCGCCTCTGTTGCACGCTCCCGGCTCGACATGCCATGGGAGAATGTTTGGGGTCTTAGACCAACAACAGCAAAGCCAAAGAAAAGCCTCGAGATCGAGAGAGTTCGTCACAAGAAAAGCCCCCCGGTATACAAGCTACAGTAGAGATGACCCGTAAATTAACTTACGAAGAGGGTCACGAGTCTAGTGGCATCCATTGAAGAGGATTGCAGGTGCTTGTGAGACACAAGCAGAAGTGTACGGGACATGGCTAGCCAGTGTCCTTGTCGGTACGCCCAGGAGATCCTTGTGACGATGTAGGCTTCTTTTCTTCTGCTTCTTTTCTCTTTTTTGCCTTGTGCGTGGTGAGGGCGTCGACGAAGCCCGTCCCGAGGGAGACTGCTCTCCTCCCAGATCCGCCATCACTCCCGCCCCCCCTCCCCGCCTCTCTTTCACAGGAACGGTGTCGCTTTCAAGGATGTGGGCGGGCTGACGCGAGACGGATCTCGATCTTCTGTATCACCACCCTCACATGCCCCTGCGCACTTACTGGATGTTCTTTCTAGAGCTTACGGTGGCTGATGTTCGAAACAACATACCGGCCTCGCCTCCTTTTATCCCCGCCTCTCCATCATACTGTGCGTCATGCGCAGGCCGGAGGGCATGGACAGTAGTAAGTAATCAGCTGATGAGGTTCTGGACCGGGGGGGGGATGCCACCTTGTCCCGGGCGCACGATTGGTCATACAAGACGCAGATGCGTGCCCGACGAGGCACAAATGAAAAACCCAATCAAATCACCAACTGACGAATAGTTTTTGTGACCAGATGGAGGAATGAATCGGAGGTGTCGTCCAGGGTAACTCTACAGCAGTAGCACTACCACCACTAACGTCGTGATCATGCACGCAGGGCATTATATGGAGACCCAGCGCCAACTTGGCTTGTCTCACGCCTTCCTTCAATCATCAAAACAGAGAGAGAGAGAGAGAGGAGCCAACAGAGCAGGAAAAAGAAGAAGGCTCCAAAACCATCTGTCCCCATCAGCTCCGTCTCTCTCTCTCTCTCTCTCTCTCTCTCTCTCTCTCTCTCTCTATCTCTGTGGGTGCATATTTGCGTGACGAAACTTTGTCTCGGTTCTTACAGAGCTTGTCTAGGCGCCAGGTGGGCGGGGTATTGATGGGTTTCGTAAATTTATTGGAAAAGAGGAGTAAGGTTCAGCCTGGTGTGGTACAGGACAAGACCCCGTTGACCTTCCACGGTTGCCGGATTGGAACCGTCTCCTGACTATCCTGCCTTGGTGCTCCTGTCAGGGATACAGTCATCTCGAAAAGCAAAAGAAAGAGATAAAGATAGCCGTCCGTGGCAGTTGAGCTTGGAAAATCTGAATGAAATCTCGCTTGCAAGGGAGAAAATTGGTGGCAATGCAGATGCATACACCTTGTTCCCATCTCTTTCTCTTGAGACTCACACCGAGCACTTGATTGCCTGGATTGCCTCTCTCGAGTCGAACAGGGCCCGCAGCATACCTCTCTCGGTGGGATGATCGCCCCGAGAATTATGCAAGATCCGTGATCGTGTACGACTGTAACCAAGATCAGCGGGTCTGGGGCCAGGGCTCTCTCCTCAGTCCGACTCTCTCTTCTCTCTTCTCTCGCCCTTGTCCTTCCCTGCTTCTCTACGACACTGCTTCGTATTTTACCTTCCCCTTCCCTTCTCAGCCACCTCCTTCCGCCCTTGTACGCGCCACCCGACCGAGGAGGAAGGGCGAAAGCCAAAGGGAGGGGACGAGGACGAGGAACAGCCCTACATCCTGAACGATATTCTGCTTTGTGTAGCCGACGAGAGGGGAGGAAGAAAGAAAGAAGAAGAAGGAAAGAAAGGGCTCGACGCATGCTGGCAGATCCCACTCGGGTCCCCTCGGCCTGAACGCAAGAGCTGCCCTGTGATCCAGATTCCGTGTCATCTTGTGAACCTCTCGTGTGCCCATCATCCCATCATCATCTCTGTCGGTCCCGAATCTCGTCTGTCCTTGAGACATTATTGCTCTAGAAGGAACATGAAAGAAGAGTGGGTAATGTTTTCTACAAGTTTATTTTAGGCTATGCGTAGGAGTTGGAAGTCAAAATAAAAAGAGTGCGGAATGTTAATGCTTCGCCTTCCCTTTTGGTCTGTTCTAGTTGCACACACACAACCGCACAGGCCCCGACTTTCCTCACTTGGCAGCAAAAGTAAAAGAAAAGAAAAGAAAAGAAAAAGGAAAACCCCTGGACGTCGTCATCTGAGCCTTGTGATCTGGTCCCGTGCCATGAGCACACCCACCCGGCCTCTCCAAGCCACTGAGGCAAGTCCAAGCCCCCCGATTCAAGGGTTTGCCGAGTGCAGACCGCTGAAATGCTGTCATAACAGGACGATAGACACATAATAACCACCAGGCCAAAAATGACATCTTACTTTCTGTGTGTGTGAGTGTCTCTCTCTCTTTCTCTCTCTCGACCTGTCCCTGTCATACTGTGCGAGGACAAGAATTCGAGCGCAGACAGTGACTTATCATAGCAGGGCTTGTTTGACATACATCATGTCGTGGTGGCTTTCTTGCTGTCTCGTACGGTATATGTTCCTGTGTCAGTACTTGTAGGTATGCAAGTCCAATATCCGACTTGTCTTCTCGACCCATTGCGTATTGCATTCGCCTCGCCGATACTACTAGCGGTGTACCAATCAATCTAGGCTCTCAACGACTCGAGCCCAGTCGTAGCAGCGTGGGTAGGCACTGGAACCGTCTTGCCCAGAAAGAGTCATCATACTCCGTTCCGAAAGGGGCGAGAAGGGAGGGGGGTGCCTTTAATATCTCTTTTTCCTCGTCCAAAAACGTCTCTTTGCAGAAAATGGTTATGCCGTATCCCTACTTTGTCCCTTGTTGGTTCTGACGGGGCGGCTGTAAATTATCTTGAGCCAGAATTAATGAACTTTTCCCCCGGTCTATATTCTTTCTTGATCTGGTGTCATAAGGGAGGAAGTACGTGTAGGAATTCAGAAGGAGGCAAGAGGAGATGGGTGGTGTTTAGGTGTCTTCCCCATAGACTCGGGCTTCATACAAGATGTTTCGTGTCTCTTTTTCTTTTCACACACACCCACACACACCCACAAAACATCTGAGATCTATCGAGATTGGATGGAGATGAGGTGAGATCAGATCAGGCATGCATGAGCCTAGCGTGCCCACCTTTGCCCGGTGGGAACGGCATGGCGGTGCGGTGCTAGTTTAGAGCCAAGATGATTGGGTCCAAGGCGCGGTGCGGCGGCTCCTTTTGCATGTCAGTGGGTGTACAGTACAAGGCCATGATGTACTTGCTCTTGGCATCCAAAGAATGTGTCTTTTGTGTGTGTGTGTGTGTGTGTGTGTGTCTCTCTCTCTGTGTGTGTTGTGGCCTCGTCAAACACTATTTCTCCGGCCGTCTTTCCTCAAGCACACACGCACACGCACACACACACCATCACCCTTAGCGGCACCCTCCACCTCTTTTCGTCGTATTCAAGACTTGACCACTGAATGGGAGGGTGACATCTCTCACATTGCAAAGGAAGAACAAGAAAAAGAAAACAAAAAGAGGGTAGCAGCAGGGAGGGGAAAAAGGAAGAAGCAATGACTCGCCTCAACAACGACTCTTGCCCCTTTCTGGTATGCAGCGCGGTGCCGACAGGCTGAGCTGGCACACACACACCACACACAGGTCACACACATATACACGTCAGTCAGTCAGTCAGCATTGGCCTGAGGGTATTCCCACACCGGTGAGCGCTCGACCCTGTACTGGTATGAATGAACGAGCGAGAGAGTAGATAGATAGACAAGGGTCCTCGTTCCGCGGGTCCGATGGGGATGTTTTGCCCTTGCCCTTTCCCGGGCAAGGCAACCTGACGCGAGGGCGAGTCAACTGTGGGTGAAAGTACTGTACATTGGGTTGCGCTGCGTGGTGATGATGATGATGATGATGATGATGATGATGTGGATGTATTGTTGTAGATCATTTCCATATTTAATCTCCTTCTTCCTCTCGATCTTTCTCTTTCGCTTTTCTCTATATGCCTCGTTTCCTCAGCTGCCAATATCATTGGTACCCAATACGCCGGCGTTTCTTGATGCGAATGCGAGCTTTAGATCGTAGGCTACCACTAGTAATGGAGACCTCAGTAATTAGGGGGGGGGGTGAACACTAAAATCCTGAGCTCAAGGGAGAGAGAAAACAGCGGTGTTCTGCTGCTGGGATTCAGAGAGCCCCCCCCCATGTCCATGTTATTGACAACGGTGTCCCTGAACGTCAGCCATTTCGGCAAGCCTTCTAGAACGCCTTCGCTCCGCCGCCTACTCTTAAAAGGGTTTCTGAAAAGTCTAGAAAGTCTGTATCCCAATCTTTTCTCTCTCCCTCTACTCGCACCCCTCCAATTTGGGCGAGAGACAGTCTGTGTATGAAGGCGCTTACCCTGTTGACACAGGCCCCCCCCCCCTTTGGTCACATCAGCTACGCCCTAATTCCGCCCTTCTTTCTGGTTTTCCAACACCAGCTGGGGAGGGGTTTTACCAAAATGTCTTGCCCCTCATCGCGCTGCCGTGGGAGACATAGAAAGAGATGGAGAGAGAGAGAGAGAGAGAGAGACAAGAAGGTCCGCCTGAACCATAGACTGGGCCAACGGCAAACGGGACACAAACAAGGAATGTGCGGGGCGTTCGGGGCTTGGGTAAGT